TTAATCCGTATTGTAATCAAAATCCTCATCATCATAATCAGTCTCTTCCTCAGAAAAATTATCGACTCTACCAATTGACGGATGTACTTCAATATCGTCCTCATCATCATAATCAACATTGTTTAGAGCTACATCAACATTGTTTTGAAAGTATTATGAGAAGTCAAAAAAAATTCTAGCTCCAGATGAAGAGTTGTTTTGAACTACGTCAACATTTTTGGCCTTTATATTGTCGACATTTTGGACAGAGTCACTGTAAGCATTTTAGACATGAAAATTGTCGGGTGGTAGATCCTAAATACTTAGATGATTAACATGCTCGACGACACAATGAGGGTTTTTGTTTTGGTTTCTTCGATGATTAATAGGCTCGCGAATGTAGAACACTTGCTTGGCTTGCGAAGCATATATGAGTTGATCATCTTGGTACGCTTCTTTTCTGTGTTGATACTGATGAAATTATCGTCAGGAATATGTCCCATATCGAACCACTTACACCAAAATATTACAGTCGAATAATCATATGGATATTGCACCTCCATAATCTCTTCTAACTATCCATAATATTTCTCTCCATTCTCACCAACTACTAGAACCCCAAACTTTTGCTATTTGCATTGTGCATCACGACTAAGTACCATAAACCTAACAACGTTAACTATCCATTTGTAAACTTATTGAAAGTGTTGAACCAGAGGCGGACGTAGGAATATGTAGCAACAGGTACACAAAAAAAATCGATCAAGTATAATAACATAAAAAACTACGAGCTAATTAAAAATAACAAACTAGTGTAGACAAACTTCGTTAAGGGAAAATTTTTCATTTCATGGGCATGTTCTTGGTCTCGTGAGAATTTGTTTCCGTATAGGTTGTGGTTGTACAAAGTTTTGAAGGCATTATTACCAAAATTTCATTGCCCATTGTTGTAAGAAAGTTTTCAATCATTTTTAAAAAACTGAAATAAAATATTATCTAATCTCCACAAAATGAGTAAATTTTCCACCGAATGTGTATTTTAATGTGTACGGAAGGTTACAAGTATGATTTTGATGGTTATAGATTTTTGGGGGGCCAGTGACAAAAGGTAAATGAAAAGGAAAACTAAGGTGAAAATTAAACAAAAACTCAAGGTAAATTAAAAGGAAAACTAAGGTAAAAAGTAAACAAAAAAATCGTTCAGAGTAGGAATGGAACTCAAGACCCTTTACAAAGGGGAACCGTAACTTGCATCTCAAACCAATTCAACTACCTATACTTTAGTACAAACTTTGAATTATAATAATAATATACTTGATTTTTAGGTGCACACTAATATAAAATCATTTTTTTTCTTTTTACATGATACAGAAAAATCTAGTAGTTGCACGTGCAACCCTGTGGACCACCATAAATCCACCCATGTGTTGAATAACTATTTTTGGAATTCTGGTGAGTTTTCTTTTCTCTACGGGAAACAAAAATCAAGTAGAATATTCATAAAGTCAATAATTCAAAAAGTATCCCCAACATAGGAAAACATGAACAAATAATCAGAAAGGGATAGAGTATTCACAAAGTTAGGCTTCTAAACCCACTTTTTGAATAACTTATCTCATATCTGAACGTGTATTACATGATTGTATGTTTAAGAAAAATTCGGCAGCATTTCCCCTTAGCTCCCATGCATATATATATATATATACACACACACACACACACACGAGGAGCAAAGAGAAAATGACAACCAAAATCTTTCTTAAACAAACAATTATGTAATACATGTTCACATCCTACATGAGATAAAGTATTCAAAAGCAGTCCTAAAGCATGGATAGCCTGGAATTAATTTCTAAATCAATTTCGGACGGGTATTTCTAGGCTCTTGATGATTATAAAGAAGAAACTTAAACTAAAGTATGATGTTATAATAGAAAATAAACAAAAGTATAATGTTATAATTAAAAAAAATAAAAAAACATCATAAATGGTTCCTGTTGTTTCCCAAAATCTGATGTTTAATACCCATGGTTTAGAAACGTCATAGCTGGCCCCTGTGCTTTCAAAACTTTTGATAGTTGGTCTTAATCCCTTACACCGTTAGAACCCCAATTAACTCTTATTTCATTAAAATAATATAACGGTAAATTGGTCTTTTCACGTGTGTCCTCTTCTTTATAACCAAATGCATGTCTGATCATTTTAAAAACCCTTCTCACATCCACCCTCATATACTCTCACTCTACTGTGCATCCAAATGCAAAACTCTTCTGCAAGTGTCGAAGATGGCGATTCGTAGATGTGGAATGGAAACAACGAAGGTGACCTCATGGATGGATCGTAACCATGGAAGCAATTTTTGAATTGTTCAAGATGTGGGTTCGTAAGGTGGTTTGACCCTCCGATGTGTGCTAGGGAATTGGTGGTGATTCCAGGTTTGATAAGATCAATGAATCGATTGGAAGAGAGGGTTGCGATTACAAGTGCAGAACTGTGGAACTACAAGCTGATGTTGTTCTGTTCATGGATGGTTTTTTAACTAGTAAAGTGGTTGAAGGATCTGGATGGTAATAGGATAGGGGTTTTTGGTTTCTTTTGTATGCATCTAACTAGTTCAGGGGGTTTTGGATTGTGATGGAATGGGATTTTTGGTTTCTTTTTGTTGTATGAAGTGTAACACATTAAGTCAATAGAAGTTTAATGCAATGCAATTTGTTATAAATCAGTTGTTTTGATGTGCATTTTCGTATGATACATTGTTATAACTGCATCTTGCAAATGTTTAGGAATGGTATTTCAAAGGTACATTGATATACATATATCTTTTAGAGAAAGGTTTGGAGAGGTTAATTCATAAGCAGATTGTTGATAAAACAATTGCGTACCAAAGTTTAAACATAAGACTTAGTTTCAACATACTTACTGATGGAAGGTGTTAACCCATACAAACATTACAAAAGACCTAATTACCATAATTTAAACAGCCAAAACACAATTTAAGTTTCAAAATACCTAACTACCCAAACATCCAACTAACTACTTAACAGTATTTCCAACCCCCTTTCCCTTTCCTTTTGTCTTCTTTCCTTTGTCTTCCCCTTTCCCTGTGTCTTCCCCTTTGGTCCAACTTTACCATTGTCTCCGTGCCATTTACATGGTCTAGAATTGTACCCTTTGTTATGACACTTTGAGTATGTGACTGCAAGAAATTTCCTGCTCAATTTAGTGGTTTGGCTGTTGGCCTCATCAACACCTCTTTGTCTCTTCGTTTTTTGCCTCCCAACTTACACATATTCATATATTATATTTAAAACATAAACATACTTTTTGGCATTACAAGTACATATTTAGCCTAGTTGAGACAACAACCTATGTGTGATGTTTTGGTGGAGTTAAAGTGAATGGACAATCACTTTTTGGCCACATTGAACGACCATTTATTAAATCAATTTTGTTCAGATACATGAATCTCCATGTTGATAACTTATAGCAAGGATGCACCCAATCCTCAACATCAGGGGTATCTTCTCCATTTTCAATTTTGTTCCATATACCAGAAACAACATGCATACATGGAAAAGCTGTAATCTCCCAGAACCTACAAGTTTAACTTCTTTCATTTAGGTTCACCACATTCTGATCCTGCCATTTTCTTGCAACTTGGTACTTTCCTTCCCCCTTATACTTAGCTACATACTTTGCTGCTTAAGTCTTAATCTCCTCTAAACTTATAGTTGCAGTAGTACTTAGTTCCCCTTGACACTTATCTATTTCCTTTTGCACAACACACAATCTCTTCATGAGATACTCTCTAATATATTCTAAGCAGGTGATGATTGGTTTATCCCTACCTTCATCTATCTTAGCATTGAATACCTCACATAAATTATTCAACAAACAATCAGTGTGTGCCCTACCTATGTAAAACATATTCAAAAAGAAAATTACACATTTTATATTAAACATAAAACTCAACACTTCTTAGTGACATACCACTGAAGTGAGATTTAGACCATATCTCTGCAGGAATCTTACAAAACCAAGAATGAGCTTCATCATTCATTTTCTTCAAATCATCCACTGCATAATTAAAGTGATTTAATGTTGTTGCTCTACCACATTCCCAAACCTTGTTACTCAACTCTTTTCCTTTCCATTGTTTCTTCATATTCTCCTGAATATACCTCATACAAAACCTATGTTCTACATTGGGGAATACCTTTGCAACTGCTGGTATTATCCCCTTAATAAATGCAAATATAGTCAGTTTCATTTATAAAAATAGAAAGTAAGGTACACTAACATGAAAAATAATTAAGTGAAACATACCTTTTGTCTATGAGAAATGAAGGTAAACTTTGAATTTGCTCCCAATTCCAAGTCTTCTCCTAACAGTTCCATGAACCAGGTCCAAGAACTAGTTGTTTCTGCCTCTACCACTGCATATGCTACATGGTAGTTAGTAGTCTCCACTAATCACATGCTCTGCTATTTGCTCCCGTATTGTAGTTGGTAGTCCCCACTAATCACACGTTCAACTATTTTCTTTGCCCTAACAACCTTTTGAACTGACATACCAAGCTCTAACTTCTTACACATCTCCTCGTGTAAAGCTTTGATTGAAATTTTAGGGTTACTCTGAATTTGTGGAACAATTAAGTTTGCTAAATATTTGGAAGTTGAAGCTTTAACCGATCTCGTCTGCAAACATTTATGGACATCGTGTACCATTTTCATTAACCAATCCTCATTCTCATCTGGCCTTGAGATTTGGACTGCCTAAAGACATTTTCCTTTTTTACTAATCATATTTTTGCCCTTGCACTTTACCTTACTTCTAGTTAATGGCCTACCACATTCAACTGTTTCAGTAGATTGCCCACAATACTTCCACATTTGACCCTTCTCCTAATTTTATCATTTTTTGCTAAGTCTAGGGATCTCCTTGTATTTACAGCATGCAAATGCATGTAATCCACAACTTCCTTCTTTGTTTTGAAACACTACGCCACCCTATATGGTTATAAATGGATCCCCCCATGTGAGCATGAAGTTGACATACTCATTTTGTTAAGCTTTTTTGACCTTTCATATTCATAAAATCCTACATATTGGTAATCATCACTTTGAATAACTTCCAACACTTCATGAACTATGTCATTCCCTACATTTTCAGTTTGCTTGTTTAAAATTCCATGTTCATCTACATCCACAACACTTTGGAATTCACTCATGTCTACATCCACACCAAATTTCAAGTTAGACCCATGTACAATGTAGTTACTATCATCATAATCTTCTCCACTATAATAAGAACCATCTCCATTCTGAATATAGAAAGCATCTTCACTATCATCACTTAACATGTCCTATAGAATTTCCATTTATACTTGATTGTCTTCATCATTTGGTACACTGTACTCAACATCAAAGTTAGCATAATTTGAATAATCCTCTGTAAATGCTTCAAATTCATCAAGTCGTACACTTTGTTCTCCACCAATATCTTCACAAATGGGTTCCTTTGCATGATTAACTA